ACCCTGGACAGGTCGCACAGAGACAAACGAGGCTGACAACCATTCACTCTCTCACTCACACCTAAGGACAATTTAGAGTTATCAATTAACCTAACAGTCATGTTTTTGGTCTGTGGGAGGAAGCCGGAGTACCCGGAGAGAACCCACGCATGCATGGAGAGAACATGCAAACTCTACCCAGAAAGGTCCCCGGACCGGGATTTGAACCGGTGACCTTCTTGCTGAGAGGCATCAGCTCTACCAACTGAGCCACCGTGCCGCCTTTTTACTATACTGTATATTCCTTGATTTTCACAGGTCCAGTGGTTCAGTAAAAGTATGGTACCTGTATTGTAGTGGTAAAGCTGAACTTTTTAATTTTCCACTTTTTATCCATTTCAAATGAATTATGATTCACTGATTAATTTGTCATTCATTAAACTTCTTTAGAAGGATGAGGGGGTTCACAGAGCTGTCTACAACAGATTGTTTACAACCTTTCTACAGATCTTAACACAAGAAAATCTGATCTGTCCCTTCAAGYCGTCTGATAAATTCATGTACCTGAACTTTATTTCTGTCATCCATTTATGAGCAGCAAACTGTTGGGTGGAGGTATAGAGAGTATGGCTATTACTGAGGCCTTTGGAGGTGAGGAGACATTCATCGGTTTGGTTTTCTTGTTGATGCTATATTCTAAAAACTCGCTCCCTTTTTTTGTTGTTGTTCAGAGTTCCGCACAGGGAAAACCCAGCTGTCCCACACACTCTGTGGTGAGAAAGGAACTTTTTTTTAAACGATTTAGCTTTGTAATCAAATCATAAACATGCCATAAATCAGATTCTGTGATGACGTATTTCAGTCACTGCCCAGCTGCCAGGCGAGGACGGCTACTCCGGTGGAAAAATTATCTTCATCGACACAGAGAACACCTTGTATCCTTACAGAAACGTGTCACTGAACACGTGGAGAGCAACTGACGCTGTAATTCACTGTGCCGCCCCATATCAGCCGCAGGCGTCACGACCGTATTGTTCTTCTTGACTCTGTTTGATCGCAGTCGCCCGGACAGGCTGAGAGACATTGCTGACAGGTTTAATGTGGACCACGGTGCTGTGCTGGACAACGTGCTTTATGCCCGGGCCTACACCAGTGAGGACGGACACCACAGTGCAAAGACCGTGTGGCTCAGTTTGCTCTCAGTTCATGTGTGTGATTAGAAAATGTYTGCTGCCTCTGCAGGTGAACACCAGATGGAGCTGCTGGACTTTGTCGCTGCAAAGTTTCATGAAGAAGGAGGAGTGTTTAAATTGTTGGTAAGCTTTGTAGATTTAGTCAAGGTGGATTATATGTTTAAACYTCTGTCAGGCTGCTGGTTTGATGCTCTTTTTAATCGCTCTTGTCTGTCTGCTTCACCTGTATGTACCTACATGTATGTTTAGGTCAAGTACAGTAACTCTAATATACTACTTGTTCCTCTGTCTTGACTAAAGACGTGGGGACAGAGCATTTCAGCTTGTAGCTCCTAAACAGGGTTCCCATGGCTCCTTGAAATCCTTGAAAGTTTGTGAATTTGAAAAAAAAATGATTTCAAGGCCCTGGAAAGTTTGTGAAAACAGTCAAAAATTACACTTGTCCTTGAAAGTTCTTGAATGTTTTTTGGGGGGATTGAAATTCTCTATTCACATGACTGATTTTCATCATCTTTTAAAAAAAATGATAAAATTAAATAAAAAAAACTTACATTTGTTGCYGTGGATACATGTAACTCAGGATTACAGTAAACTGACGTCGTTGTTTCTGACTCAACAAGTTTTTCTTTGAATTGACATGATATTAAACCTGTTATTGGTAACATTCTGTGGTAGCAGTAGGTAATTGCCGTTGCYCGTGGTTCTTCAATGTGAGGAAATTGGTACTGGAAAGTCCTTGAAAGGTCCTTGAATTTGATGTTGACCTAGGTTGTGGGAACCCTGCTAAATTTTGGAACCACACCGTCTAAGAGCCGTGGACTCATTGGAGATGTTTGAGAAGCAGCTAAAAACTCACCAGGCTTAATGTTTGTCGATGTGTTCTGTTTTTTATGCTCTGTTGTGTGCGATCCTGTTTTATTGTGAAGCATTTCGTGGCTACTTGTCTGCGAAAAGTTTACGAATGAAGTTTACTAACTTCCTCAGATCATCGACTCCATCATGGCTCTGTTCAGAGTCGACTTCTCCGGCCGTGGAGAGTTGGCTGAGCGGCAGCAGAAACTGGCCCAGATGCTCTCGAGGTTGCAGAAGATCTCTGAAGGTAACAAGTGGAAACTCCCTTTTTTTGGAAAGAGGTTGTTTAAACTTTTATTTAGTTACCAGAATAAGAGACTAAAGGGGTTGAAGGATTCTTTCTTAATTATCAATCGATCAATTATTAAATTTAGCATAATTTATGTTTGTTTTTTTTTAGAGTACAACGTAGCTGTGTTTGTTACCAACCAAATGACGGCTGATCCTGGAGCAGGAATGACGTAAGAGATTACAAAGAGCCTAATTATCTTGGAAACACTAGTTTGAGATTTTTTATTTATATTTGTTTTGTTTTAGATTTCAAGCAGATCCCAAGAAGCCCATAGGTGGACACATCTTGGCCCACGCCTCCACCACACGGATCAGCCTGAGGAAGGGGCGTGGCGAGATGAGGATTGCTAAAATCTTTGACAGGCATGTAGCAGCTTAATCCCATATAGTCTGTCCGAAATCACTCACTGATCAAGACATAAATCACTTTTTACTTTTATGCAACATTGTTGAGCAACAAGACAAACAGAAGATTTCCCCTTTTTTATACTAAAACCAAATGTTCGCAACATGCCAAAGAACACCTAGTTGGTTGATATATGGGCCAGACAGACTTTTTATTTGAACAGTAAGCATGTTTGGAAGTAAAGGTGTAGTGTTTGTTTCTTATTTTCTGTTTTGATTTTCTCCAGTCCTGATATGCCTGAGAATGAAGCCACCTTTGCCATCTCTGGTGGAGGAGTTACTGATGCCAAAGAGTGAAGGATCCAATCAAATAAAGACCCTTAATATTCACATTGTTCCCAGCTCACATTTTAAGATATTTATTGTTATTTAAAACCCTATTTATTAGTTTTGCTAACCTTATTTATATAACTGAAGTTATTCAGATGATCTCATTCCGTTGCTTTTTAAAAGATGTTTTATTCTTTGCCTTCACTGGTGTTACTTGTGTTTCAGAGATGTTAAAATAAAGAGAAGTAATAAAAGTTAAATTAAAATTTAGTTTGGGAGTGATGTGTTTTTTTAATAATAAACAAAGTGTAGTTACTTAATGTATGGCAGGAAGATTTATCATTTAATAGACAAGAACTTAGAAGTGGATATTCATCATATTTATGTTTTCCTGTCATTTGTCCTAAATCCAAACATCATTTCAAACATCTCGTTTGTCATTGTTCTTAATAAATACACATTTCTGATTCATATTCAGCTCCTTTTAACCACAAATTTGTCATTTTTCTCCATTCAGTTCATTTTCCTTTTTCCTTTTTTGTTGTAGCTAAAATGACTGAAAATWATTGCAAAACATTTTTTGTGATCTCGTTTGTGTTCATATGTATGCATGCACGTATGTATGAATGTTATGTATATCTACTCATGCTTTGTTTTTATTTTATTACATTTGTTCAGAATAAATCATCTATCTAGCTATTTACAAAAGGAAAAATATGGGCACTTGAAGTAAAATCTTACTACGAGAAACTTTCATTCCAGATGTCTACAGTCTAATTGTTATTAATTTTTTATTTAGTTATCTGAAATGAATGTTTTTCCAACATCTTTAATCTATTTTTTTAATGTTTTAACATTTTACACTGAACTGTCATGAGGGAAATCCTGTATTTATATCATGACTTGGCAATTTCAAGCAACAGAAATACAGAAAACAACAATGTAGTTACAGACATCTACAAAATACTTTTTTAGGTTTGCTTTTMGACAAAAAATACAGATAATATCTGTAATACATATCCAGGATGGCCTTTTAATGTTCAAATAGCCACTTAAAACTTTTTATGAATGTTTAGACCAAGGTTCCTACTGTTTTGACAAATATGGAACTTTTTTCAGTATTTTTCAGGTAAGTATGAAAAGAAACAATATATGGAAAAATGTATTTTGTAAAAAATACAAACCTAGATTAAAATTTAATACAAATCAAAAGGTACAGGATGTGTTTATACTGAGATTTGAGTAACTTGTGAAAGGTTTAATCTGGAAAAGTGAGAAATTTAATCCGTTGGAATGCTGATAAATGTTTTAAACAAAGCTTTTCCTTTTATACTCTTGGTTGTGAWTTTTTTTCAACAAAAATACGTTATTTATATAGATAATTTTTTTATATGTACGTTTATAAAAGGGAAATAGAAACAGAAGTATAGTTAGATTTATTTGCCTGCCATACATTGAGGACAGGATGATGTCATGCTGCCCCCTAGCGGTGGTTGCAGATGTATGCTGCTTCTCGTCAACTACAAGCTCCATATGCTTGTGAAAGCCAGGCTAAAAAAAAAAAAAAAAGCTATGGGAACTTCCTCAAACGTGCTGCTAAGAGTCTGAAACACAGCGGCAACTTATCGCCTTTTATCGAAACCACAAAGAAGTCCCACCTTGGACGGTGGTGTAAAGCTTTTATTAACTCAACAAGCAGTCATGGACACGCGAGACACAGCCCCGGATTCGTGGGAGCAGGAGGAAGATGCCGAGGCCCCGGCTCTCGCGGCGGAGCTCCCAGCCTCCTTTGCTGCCCTCAACGTGAACGCCAAGCCGTTCGTTCCTAACGTCAACGCCCCGGTGTTTGTACCAAGTTTCCTTCAAAGCAGCCCTGTAGAAATGCCGGCTTCGGATGGTAGGTTCGGTTGATGCTAAGTTAGCCCAACTTGCTAGCTTGCCTGCTAATCCAGCTAAGTTAGCTTTCTGGGAGCACCTCACTGTGCTTCGTCAGTTTTTCCGGCCTCACTTAACACGTTTGGTGTTCAACAAGTTGGCCGATAGTTGTGTACCGTAATACCGTCATGGTCGAGTCATAAAACACATAACATAAACATAAGACGTGACAACTTGTGTGTTGGAAATAATAACTGTGAAAGTTTGACACGCTTCGTTCTCTGCCCCTTTAGGTTCCCCTGACCCAGCTGCTAACATGGAGGTGGCAGACCCAGTCGGTATGCACTCCTGACACACTGRTTTGTTCATTTACACGTCTGTCTGTTTAGGCAGGTTCTGACCAGAGGAAAATCAGAACCCCCCCGTTTACTTCCGGGCAGATCTGTGTGCCATGTGCACCTGAAGTACCACGAACTGCTCCATATTTGGGTTTCTGGCGTTGGTCGGACCATGTGCAGGAAAATGATGCAACCTCACTTGTCCCTGCTCAAAATAGACACCCCATTGGCATTTTCTGTGATGCATGTTCAAGTATTCATCCTCCTTGTCAGCTTGTTGCCCCTTTGCAAACAGGAATTTAGTAAATTTTAATGCAAAAATGTTAAAAGTTGTATGTACATATGTATTTCGTTACTTGTGTTGACACCTGTCGCAGCAGCAAGTCTCCATTATTTGTCCATAACCACTGGGATTGTCTATTGCTGGMTTGCAGATGATGTAGTGTCGATGTCATGAAATGAAGATGGGGGGGCGGGGGCAGGAAGTAAATGGAGCCATGTTTCCTTCTGTTGATTCAGCGTTAAAATGCCTAAATTCTGTGCCGTGTACTGTTGTTGCAGCCGCTCTAATCAGGAGAAATATCAAAGTTTTTTTTCATGTTCCGAAAGTAGTGTGTCACAAGGGAGTTAAAGTTTAAAAACTTGCAGAAAAAATAAGACAAAAGTGGATCAACAATCTACGGCTAAAAACAGGAGGTGCGGAAACGAACAATGCAACAGTTTGCAGGTCAGGATTGTATCATTTTATATCATATTGTCGGGTATTTTCCTGAATAGTTACTTGAATTTGGGTTTACAGAAGCTAAATAAATTATTTGCAAAGCGATCCAGGCTCATAGAAATAACAGGAGTTAATTAACTTGTTGTTAACGATAGCATAATCCCCGATTATACATCGGGGAAACAAAGCAGCCACTGTTCAAAAGAATGTCCCAACACAGACGAGCTACATCTAATGGCCAGAACTCTGCAGTTTTCACT